CCATCAGAACTAAAAACACGTGACTAAAAAACACGTGAAGCGACGTGGGAGGTGTCGGACTTCCGGTGATCCGTTGCCAAGGTTACCACAGGTGGGAAAACAGGACAAGTTTCAGCTTCAGCTCATCAGGAAGCAAAACACATCAGCTGAGAGCTGGAAGCTGCAAAACAGCAAGTTTTTTTACACTAAACAGCTGGTAGGAGCAGCAAAACAATACATATGGTAAATATGAGTATAGGCTAGCTAAAAGTTGCATAAAAATAGCTAAAAGCGTCAAAGAAGCTAGCCAAAAGCTAAGCAGCAGGCAAATCTGCTATTTTTTTKTTTTGTTTTGTTTTTTTCCTAGAGATCTCAATGTATTCCTACAGGGCATGGTTTTTAAATAAAGTTAGATATTTTGAAGTCTAAAAGAAAATAAAATCAAGTTGTGCTCCAGAACGAGTCAAATGTTTTCAGTGACAAAAATGCTAAAATAGCACGAAGCATGCAGTCGCAATTCAATTAAAAAAAGAAGAGAAAACAAATAGGAATATGCTGCATTTTATGTGAAAATGCCATGACTGTAGAGTAAGATAAAGCTGAATCTTTAAAGTTGAAACTATTCTTGCAAAAACAAACAAAATAGCGATTAGCGTATTAGCATTGGGCTTAAAACCCGAGCCGAGTCGCTCCACCTGATGCACCCATATGACGTGAAATACAATAACTTTCTTCCCCTTCCTTTCTTTTCTAAAAGTATAAATTTGCAAACCAGTAACAAAAGTATAAATTAACAAAATCATATAAAAAAACAGCTAAAATTAGCAGAAAAGTAGCTAAACGTCTGCTTCCAGAACGGAGGCTAAACAACCCAAGAAAGCAGGACACCTTTTTTTTGTCTTTTTACATTTATTTTTAGAGTGGTGCACGGTTTAATCTTCATCCTCCTCCTCCTCCTCGTCCTGGTTGATCTGGAAGTAGCGCAGCTCGTAGCTCTCCTTGGTGTTGGCTACGACCCGCAGCCAGTCCCTGAGGTTGTTCTTTTTCAGATACTTCTTGGTGAGATACTTCAAGTACCTGAAAACCAAGACCACGTGGTGGGGGGGAGGATGGGTGGAGTGAGGGAGTGGGGGACGGGGTACGATGAAGTGAGTCAGGAGAAAAGTTTTAAGGTGCATGTTAAGCTGATAAATTGACCATTTCCAAAATCATGTAAAAAAAAAATCATTGAAAATTTTGAGATGCAGAACTGCAGTCGCCCTCTGGTGGTGGTGTCTTAATATTGCACTTATTTATCAAAAGCCCTATGATTCATCACTATTCTTTCCAAGAAAAATACAGGATGCTTCATAAAAAAAAACAAGCAAAATTTTTAATTTGAGCAGGCTTACATCATTTATAAAAGACCCAGAGGTGCACACAGGGGAAATGCAAGTGCCTGTGATAAATGCTGAAGTCAGATCAAAACAATTCCTTCTGTTTAATAAGAGAGAATAAGAGTTTATTTTCTATTTACACTGTACAGATGCCAAAGTATGTGTATTGTTCTGTGTTAATTTAGTTCCCCATAGTGTTTATACTGTTTCTTTTCTTGTGTGCTCTAAAATTTTTCTTTTATATTTTATCTCTAATGCTTACTTGAAATGGTTGCTGCTGTAATAATTGCAATTTCCCACTGGGGATCAGTAAAGTATTCTGATTCTGATAAAACTGTTCTATAAAACTCTGTAGACAAACTTGAAAAAAAAAACTGTTGAAAATTAATTTTTATTTTTGGTTTCAGAATCAAATTCTCGTGTTTTATTTGTACGCAAAGCCACAAGTTATTTATTATGACACGACACGTGTACAAATAACCAATATATTTGTTATAATAGTAAGGAATAACAAAATGTAGTCTGTCTTTGGTGAATTATTTTGAAAATATGGATGTCGTTGCGACGCGATCTTTATGGATTGACTCTGCACTTGATGCGGCGTTGGGCAAAAGTAGAACGGGGTGTAATTGTGGTGGTTGGCTGTGCGCACGCTGCCGCTCTGCTCCACCCTGCAGAGGTGGTGTAAACGCTCTCTCTGGCTTTAAAAGTCACTTAAACTAGAAACTCAAAAGTCTTTTATTAAACCTTAAAACGAGTGACATTTTTGAACAAACCACTGCGCCGCCACGCTTTCACTGCAAACAATTAAACGCAGAAGCAAGAATTTTCTGGCGCACGTTGGAGGATGTTTCAACGTCTACCACCAACCGCTACGTCACAGAACCATTTGGGTCCGGTAGCGATCGGTGGGTGTGATTTATCGACCGTTTGACAACAATATAACATTTTGTACCTCTTTGAGAAGGGAACTTCTGAGTTCACTGCAATCTTGCTCTTGCTCCTTTCGATGGACACCACGCCTCCTCCGAGGTTTCCAGCTTTGCCGTTCACCTTGATGCGCTCCTGCAGGAACTGCTCCTGGAGGAGGGAGAGGAGGACACAGGAAGTCTCACACAAGGCAGGAGTGTGTAAAAATCACATTGGTACAAACGTGCAATTTACTACAGACAAGGGGATGTGTCCCAGAAAAAATAAGGTTAATTTAGAGCAACAACAAAACTAAATGGAACTCTGACATTAAACTAATATTATTTTAAACAAAGCTACTGCAGACAAAACCTCTTTATGTCTGAATGAGTCTACTCACAAAGTTGGCAGCATCCATGATGCCATCCTCCACAGGGTGAGTGCAATCCAAGGTAAACTTCAGGATCTGCTTCTTCCTTTTCCCACCCGGTTTCCTGAACACCACCTGCTTCTTCTGAAGCACAAATGTGTAAAAAAAAAAATAAAAAGTTACCCAAACGTGTGCAGAACGAGCAGRTTAGCTAGCTAAATCAGCACAGGAAACATGATGAACACTGTTAAGTTATCATAAGTTTTGCCAACATGTATTCTAAACTGTCTGAGCATCTACTTTTAAATTTTTCTTAATAAATAAAACGCGTTTTCATCACGTCGACCACCGCTAGCTAGCGTTAGCGCTAGCAGCTAGCCCAACGTGCGTGTGGTCAGTACAATGATTGGTCCCGATCGAAAGCTTTAAACGACAGTAGCTCCTGTATTTCTGCTCTTTGGTTACAAACACACACATCGGTGACAGATACAAGCTCAAACCCGCTGTCTATTTTCACTTTATTTAGTTGTGTTTCTACTCACTGCTGGAGCCATGACTGAGCACTCAGCAAACAGGAAGAAGAAGAGGCCGAGTAGGAAAACCAATCGCAGCCAGAGAAATCGATTCGATCACTGATTTCCTGCTGTTGGTTCATTTCAGTCTCTTATTGCATTTTTTTTTTTTTTGTATGCAGTTTTAGCTTTTCATATATTGAGACGTTCAGCTCATTCAGGGGTGCTATAACT